AATACAAAGTTACGCAATTTGGGACCCAAAATTGGAGCCCAGATTTGGAGCCAATTCTGGGCCCCAATTATGCCGTTGTTTCACGAACGCAAAAGCGACATTTGCTACAGTCATTGCGCGCAAAACGTAGTAAACCTCGCGTAGTTCTGTTCTGCATCTTGCCAGTCTTCCCTCAAAACTTTGAATCACAGGCGGAAAGTGGAAGGCACGGCAACATGTGATTGGAACAGGAACTTTCTCACACCATAAGGCAGTTCACGATAAAGGTTCGCACGGCGTTGACCGTGGGGCGTTTCCCTCTCATGCCTGCCAGAGCAAGGAAGAAAAGCGTCAGCAGGACCATTTTTTTTTGCGGGTGCGGGGAGGTGGGTGTTTCCGGAGCCCTCGGTGTTTGGATGGTCGTTTTTTCACATGCCGTAATCGATTTATTTTTGCAATTTTCGGCGTTTCTCTTTCCAGGGCGGGGCGTGCTGCTTCGGACTCCTCGGTACTTACAGCATTTTCGGGGCTTTTGAAGGGACACTCTCGGTATTCGCAGCGCTTGGCCTTATGGACTGAACGACACGAAACTTCTTCGCCATGCCCTCGTGTTTCATCTTGCGGATCAGGTGCGAGTACTGGAACGTTGTCGTTGCTCTGCGTTTTGGACAGCTTCTGTCCGATTACATTGACAAGGTTGACAAGGTTGTCGAAGACTACATCGACGAGCTCCTCTCTCGTTTGAGCAGGCCGTCTGCGTCCGGCAACGCCGGCAACTCCGGCCAAGGTCGTGCTTCTATGCGACAACAACTGCAGCAGCTCTTGTGGCTGCCACTGACGGGGTTTGCCGATCTTCCTGCAGGCTAACGTGAAGCTTGCAGTGCTGCTTCTCCGTCGAGATGTCGCTTGGCTGGACTCCTGTGTCCTCTTGCGTGACTCGGCTGTCAAAGACGGCCTCCAGCCACACCACTACGCTCGTGCCGTGCGTTTGCTTGTCCTTGGCAAACTCGCTTGGGCAACAACCCTCACGGGACCACCTGAATCTTGCACTCGCGCGCGTTGTGGACGTGAGTGCTGCCGCCAACCTTCCTTGCGCGAACTTCGTCATGCCTTCGGACTCCGGGCGACGGACTACAAGGCCAAGCGCGCCGACGACCCGTCAACGCCCAAGCCGTCAGCAGCCTTCTCACGGTCCGTCCTGTCTGCGTGGCCATTAACAAGTTGCTTGCTTTCTGGCCGGCGGTGGCTGCTCTCTCTCTCTCTCTCTCTCTCTCTCTCTCTCTCTCTCTCTCTCTCTCTCTCTCTCTCTCTCTCTCTCTCTCTCTCTCTCTCTCTCTCTCTCTCTCTCTCTCTCTCTCTCTCTCTCTTTCTCTCTTTTTGATGTGCAGCTGTGCCAAGAGCGCAGCCACTTTGCCATCAACTGCCCTTTCATCTTCTGCCGCAGTATGTGGGTCTGTGCTGCATGAGGTCCGGTATGGGGATCTCCGGTAGTGAGATTTTCAAAATTCTGCGTGGCGGCGGAACACACTCTTGTCTGCAGGCTAGGGTCTCCCAGGGAGTAGGAAGCATTGCCCTCCAGGTTTGTCGATCAAGCCATCTCCAGAACGTACGTGCCCTGTGTTTGCTGTTCCCATCAAGCAAATCCACCAGCTGGCAGAGATCCCAACCCAAGGTTCCAATGTGCAGCCCAAGTGCCAATTGTGGGCGTTTGACTTGCTTGCGGAAGCTATCGTCAAGCACTGACTGAAGTGAAGCTCAGTGGGGACGAGGCTGCCAAGCTCAGCATGGTGTACCCGAACATGAGAGAACTGAATTGGGCTCCAGTCCGTGAAGCGAGTCATGCGCTAGATGAGTTATGACTTGGTCGGACACAGTAGCCGAACAACTGCAAGCAAAACTTTCAATGCGTGCAACTTTCGCGAGCCAAACATGTATTCTTGTGGTATGAGGCCCGAGAGAAGCACTTTTTGGAGGTTTGGGTGGCACATTTGAGTTGACGCCAGTTGAAGAGGGCGCCTGTGTGCTGCCCTGTTCCGGTCCTCCACGGGCGATGTCTTCTCTGATGAACAGGCACGTCTGGCAACTTGCTGTGGGACGGGGGAGCCGGGGCCAACGAGCAAGTGATCTATGAGGAATGCCTTCCCATGACGAAGCCGGCCAAGGCAGCCGCTGCCTCATCACTAGCTGCCTAGCTCAGTCTGGCTGAGTTTAGCTACGTAGGCGAAAGATCCTTCGAGCCCTGGGTGCAACGTTCAGCGTGACAGCTAGAGTGTAGAGTAAGTGCAAAACCTGGCTGACGCAAGGAAACAATGCCTAGTGCATTTTTGTTACTCTAGAATGAGCATTTATTTCCCGGGGCACGCAGCAAGCGGGAACAAAATGATGACTGTAGGACGATTTCAGCCTTGTGCATCGGAAATATTGCTTTCCATGAAAGAGTCAAAAAGTCGAGGCCGTGCCAATCCGTGCCAATCCGTGCCAGTGCCCGCTCTTAACCAAGTATACAGCATCATATGCCCAACTGGTGCCAAGGTTCGCCATTGTCATGCATGTAAGGGAGGAAGAATACAAGGAGCGTGCGCGGGGACGAAAGAGTAGCTTGGAATTATGAAGGGGCGTCTTACAACTTAGCGTGAACGTCGTGCCTGAGGACGATGCACTTCGAGCAGGGCCCAGTGGTTGGCAAGCCATGCCCCTCTGCCACGTCCAATTGTGGCCACAGCTGTGCACGTGTGCGCGTGCGCGTGTGCGCGTGTGCGCGTGTGTGCGTGCGCGGGTGTGCGTGTGCGGGTGTGCGTGTGCGGGTGTGCGTGTGCGAGTGTGCGTGTGCGGGTGCATGTGCGTGTGCGGGTGTGCGTGTGCGCATGTGCGTGTGCGGGTGTGCGTGTGCGGGTGTGCGTGTGCGGGTGTGCGTGTGCGGGTGTGCGTGTGCGGGTGTGCGTGTGCGGGTGTGCGTGTGTGCGGGTGCGCGTGTGCGGGTGCGCGTGTGCGGGTGCGCGGTGTACGCGTGCGCGCGTGTGCGTGTGTGCGCGTGTGCGCGGGTGCGCGTGTGCGCGGGTGCGCGTGTGCGTGTGTGCGGGTGCGCGTGTGCGTGTGTGCGGGTGCGCGCGTGCGCGGGTGCGCGGGTGCGTGTGTGTGTGTGTGTGTGTGTGTGTGTGTGTGTGTGTGTGTGTGTGTGTGTGTGTGTGTGTGTGTGTGTGTGTGTGTGTGTGTGTGTGTGTGTGTGTGTGTGTGTGTGTGTGTGTGTGTGTGTGTGGGTGTGTGTGGGTGTGTGTGGGTGTGTGTGGGTGTGTGTGTGTGTGTGTGTGTGTGTGTGTGTGTGTGTGTGGTTTTGTGTGGGGTGGTGTTGTGTGGTGTGGTGTTTTTTGGGTGTGGGGGTGTGTGTGGTGGTGTGTGTGTGGTTGTGTTGTGTGTGTGTGTGTGGTGTGTGTTGTTTTTGTGTGGTGTGTGGTGTGTGTGTGTGTTGTGTGTGTGTGTGTGTGTGTGTGTGTGTGTGTGTGGTGTGTGTGTGTGTGTGTGTGTGTGTGGTGTGTTGTGTGGTGTGTGTGTGTTGTTTGTGTGTGTGTGTGTGTGTGTGTGTGTGTGTGTGTGTGTGTGTGTGTGTGTGTGTGTGTGTGTGTGTGTGTGTGTGTGTGTGTGTGTGTGTGTGTGTGTGTGTGTGTGTGTGTGTGTGTGTGTGTGTGTGTGTGTGTGCAACCTGCTGTACATGCAGGATTGGGGTCACGCCCTTTTTCAGTTTCATGCAGGGGGACGCAGCACATCACTGGGACTGCGTCCAACGAAGCTACCAGTGATGTGGGAAGCCGGAGTTGGCCGCTCCGGTGTACCTGCTCAACACAGATTGGTGACATCATCCATCGTGTATGCTGTGCATTGTTGAATCTATCGAACATCATCGCTGTGCAATTCAGAATGAACCATCTGTCGGACCATGTCATTTTCGAGGCAACTGCCTTTGCCTCGGCCCACAGCTGTGCACATGTCGTACACATCAGTTACCGAAGAGGCTGCGCATCAAAAGTGGTTGGGTCCATTGACGGGCCTCGATCACAGCTCGTGAGCCGACTGTAGGGCGCTGATTCAGTCAAGGCCAGCGACAAAGTTGCAAGATGTTTTTTGAGGGTTCTGTGATGCTTGATGTTGTCCAGTCGAGTGTCCGTCTCATCAGTTCCAGACAAGTCAACGTGTGTATGGTTCTGGCGTGTTGTCCCGTCACGGGGCCAGATCCCAGAAGACCCGGGCATCCGGGATTGACTGAGCTCTGCTGACTGAGATATTCATTCATCGGGATCATCTGCAGTAGGCTTTGTGACATGAGTGAGTGCGAGCACAGACATGTCATCGGGATCATCCAAATTGCAGACGCAGGGGTACCCGGACGGCACTGCTTTTGTGATCTTCAGAGTACGCTGTCCGCTGTGAACAGGTGGTTTGACTGAGGCTGCATCAGGTACAGACACATGTCCTCCCCGCTAGTGTTGGTAAAGTGGTGTTGTCCTCCCTCCTGTTGTTGTTGGTGAACTTCCTCTGCACCTCTTGTCGTTGTTGTTCATGCGCGTGAGTTGACATGTCTCTTCTGCTAATGGTGGTAAAGTGGTGCTGAACTCACTCCTGTTGTGGTGATGATCTACCTCGCGCGTTCTCAGTCTCAAGATGTTTGACCTGTCTTTGTCCCGTCCGCCCTACGGGGGCATGATGCTGCCATACGTGATGCCCATGATGGCCGGGCAGACACCTTATCCAGTGGTCATGCCGCAATTTCCTCAATTTCATGCGCAGCTTCCTGCGGGACCTGCTGCTTATGTGGCGCCCTCTGCGCCCGCTGAGCCTGATGTGCCTGCGCCAATGCAGACCGCCCGGCCTTCTAGACGTGCTGATTCCCCCGGGTCCAGCACGCCCACTTCGGAGTTGATGCAACGCCTGCGGCACCGGGATAAACGCCGGCGCAGATCGGCGCCGGATGTGATACCGACACCTACACCGGTGTCTTCTCGAGGAGCATGTCCCCCGTCGCGGTCCAGGTCTCGGTCACGCCAAGGACGCAGACGCCATGATCGACATGTACGCCGCCGTCGACGCCGCAGCCATTCAGCCTGCCGAGAGCGCTCTTCTGACCGCCCTCCCCTGCCGCGACGCCCACACCGAGGACACCAACGCACCAGGCTCTCTTGTTCCCGTTCACCCAGCCGGCGCAGTGTTGTCCTCCTTCCAGCACGCAGCCCCCTCCGCCCGACCCGCAGCCCGGCTTCAAGACCGCCTGCTCGCCCTCCTACCCCTCCGCCCGCGCCGCCCAGGCACCGCGCCACCCAGCCCAAAGCCGTGCCCAAGCCCGACCCCCAGCCTACAAGTGTTCGACGAGGTCGAGGAGTTGGCACTTTACATCGTGGACGTGGTCGTGGTGCCCAACATGACCCTCATTGGGAGCCGCAGTCCAGTGGATGGTGGGGAATGGCCAGCGCGCCAGATCCCGATCTCATTGTTCGACCCTATGTGCAACTTCGGGCTGAGGAAAAGGTTCCTCTGATCCCTTATGCGCCCGAAGACAGCGACCGCACGGTTCGAGCCCTTTGTGATCTGGACGATGGTCTTGCTGATGGGCTACTCCAGATGGTGGCCAGGATTTTGCACTCCAGCGGCGCTATCGACCATGCCGAACTGCACAAGATCGAGATCATCGATGTCGCAGAAGGAGCGTACAAGGCTTTGTTGATACCGCTCGACTACAACTCACCCTTGCCCTTCGGCCACACCCCAGGAGCCCAGGCCCTGGGGAACACATATGACTACGTCTGGAACCACGGTACCGATGAGGCATCGTGCTCCCTGATCCTCCGTGAAGAACTAGTGCGTCCAACAGACGCTGGACAAGAAGGCCTCCATTCCGTGGCCTTTTATTGTCAAGCAACTCAAGGGAGTTTCAACAGGCACACGGTCGCGAATGTGATCGACAAAGAGCTTCGCATCAGCAAGGGCACCCATGGATGCCACATCCTCGGCAGCTTTTCCTCCAAAAAGCAACATTACAAGGTGTCCTGGGGACAGGTGCCCGAGGAACAGCGCATTTGCGCCCAACGTGGCAGCGTTCGGACACCAGATCACTGGGCCTTTTGCAGTGTTCATGCTCATATCCGAGCTTTGGCTTTCCCCCTCCCTGCGTGAGGGTAGGCACATGCAGCATTGGACATCCTGGTTGCAAAAAAAGGCGCGTTCCTCGTACGCTCCATGCACTTCAAGCAGAGGTCCATAGTGGATTTGCGCGCCGAGTAGAATTTTTCACATGTTCTTTTCACGTTCCCTCAGCCATTGCAGTTTTTGATTTGAGTTTCACGTTTAGGCGTCCGTTTCACTCGCCATGGATCGCAGTCGCTCGCCAGCGCCCAGAACTGGCAACCTACCACTCCCCCCTCCCCCCCCTCCCCCATTGGCGACATTCCCTGCGCCCGTGCTGCCCACCATGACGCACCCCTTTCCCATCACGATGTGCCCACCTGGACATTCCCAGCCAATGCATGTGTTGGGACAACATTGGACAGGTGCTCCGCCCTGTGGTTTGCAGAAGCCTCGAGGCCCTTCGCACAGCGCACCGTGCGCGCACCCAGCGCAAGATCTGCTTTCCCCGCCCCGGTCCCAACCATACCAGCTTACGCAGACCGGGTGCCTCGGAAAGTCTTCTGGTCCGCCGGCATCACCAGGGACCGCCGGTGCTGTACTGCAAAGGACTCAGCAGCAATTTAGCCTTCCGGACTCATGGGCCGCCGATGCAGATTTCCTTGATGCAGCCCGCAGCATTGGCAATCTCACCTTGCCGCGCTATGTGCAGCCTACAGCGTGGGCTCGAGCCGAGGGTCTAGCAGGTCTCGCAGTGGAGAAGCTTCATCCAGCGCACTTGTTGTTTGCAAACTGGCAGAGCTACTGGTTGAGACATCTCGCGCACGGCCGCGAACTTTACCTGCTAGCCGCCAAAAACAAGGGCGAGTTAGTGCTCGCTCAAGAACTGTTGAGCTTGATCCGGTCTCGCAGCATTGACATCGAGGCTGCGGCCACAGCGCACGCAGTCGCTAGTGGCCAGTCTCAAGCGAAAAATCTTGCAATGAAACAGGTCGCTGCGCTACTTGCAGACCAACTGCAGAGTCTGGTGCCCACAGCCACAGACACAGAATCCCAGAAGCACATCCGTGAGCTTGAACGGACTGTGGCCAACTTGCAGCAACAGTTGGCAGGCAGGGCCCCTGACACGCCTCGAAGTCCTGCAAAAGCCCCCTCTGGTGCAGGGGAAGGGTCTCAGTTGGATGCGGCCCCGCATGATCGTCGTACACCTGACACCATCATTGACAATCCTGCCTCCCTTTCTAACCCTAAGAAGCAGACCCCGCTCAATTTTGCCAAGGCTTCCTCTCCGAAGCCTGCAGCTGGCAGTGCAGGGCACACCGATGCTCCTGCCGAGGTCGTGCCGGAGGTCATAATGAGCCCGCCCGTTGAAGGCTCAAGTTGGCTTGGACTCAACATGCCTCCTAAGACCTCGGATCTTGAGCTTAGCAAGTGGATCGCTAGCTTGCCCCTCAACTCTCGTAAAAAGGAGGAGCTCCATAAATGGCTCCAAACTTTGGAAGAGTGGGCTGATTCGCAGGGTGATGATTTTGGGCCCAAGGTTCGTCGAGCAGGTGCCATTTGGGGAGTGCCTGTCAGTGCAGTCAACAAGATTTCAGTAAAAGCTATCGTCAAGGTTCTGGCAGTCGCCTCCTATATGGAGAGGTGACTCCGAGCATTTTGCGAGACTCGCCCGGGGGTCCGCCTGACACCCCTGGAGCGTCGTGCTCTTTCGCATGCCAGGCAGTTTTTGGACGCCCTTGCGCCTCACATTTTGCACTTAGATCAGTTTGCATTTGGAATCAGCCGCTGGTGTGTTGCCAGAATCACGCTTCTTGAAATCATGTTCACTTTTCCTCATTCGCATGTATTGAACAGCGTGTTTCGCCAACTGCAGCTTTTTCCCCACGATTTGACCTTCTCAAACTTTCAGACACCTAGCCGAGTCTACATTCGCATCTCTGCTTGCAAGGAGACAGCCAAACTGTTCTACGTTGGCAGCACCGAACAAGCTGTACACCTGCGCGAGGCCACCCGGTTTCGCAAGTTCAAGCAGGTCCAACAGGACAAACTCGTCTCTGCAGAGTTGTGCATCAGATATTGGCACAAGATGGACAATTTTTGGGACTGGGTCACTGTGCCAGTCATGTTTCGAACTGATCCAGACCAGCTCCTTGGTGCCGAACATGCCTTGATTCAGACCTTGCAACCCCCCCTCAACTACCCATACATTGCTCAGTGGTTCAGCCCTAAGCGAGGTATTGTTGGCAGTCACAACTTAGGCAAGATTTCCCATGATGGGCTAGGCAGACTGTATCGGAAAAGGCGAAAAGCTGCGACGCTACCCAGTCGCTTGGGTTACCCTCCCATTGTGGCTGCTGTCGTGGAATCGCCTGTGTTTCGTGACAAGGAAAACACCTGGCGCCTCCTTGCGCAGCTTGGCAGCAACACCTTGGCCCGGTTTGAGGCCTCGAAGCAGATAAGGTCTCATGCCTTTGATTTTGCCACCCTGTGTCTGCTTCATAAGCTGGCGCAACATCTTCCTGTGCACCTGGCTTCTTCGGCCAAGCAAGCCATTCAGCAGGCCATCAGATTCAAAGGCTTTGAGCCCCCGCCGCATGGATGCCCGTTGGTGATTCCATTCTTGGCGACCAGCAACTTGAGAGGTCGTATGCGTGAGTTGATGCGGCAGTTCATCACTGCCAACCGACCTAGCCTCATACCATTCCACGTTCCACGCACAACTGTGGTCTTTGGCAAAAACCCCAAACTGCATCAGAGCCTGTTTACCCACAAGTTGGCCCTTCGGTCTTGGGCTCGCGGGGAAACGCCCCCTTGCATGTGCTCTCTCATTGCACGGTTTGCGCCTGATGCCCAAACCTTCGCAGGTCACCTTGCCGCCAGTGGCGACCAGATGAACCGCCACCTGCCGCCTATTGCGCAGCGGATCCTTAGATCCAACATGAACAATGCCTTCTTCCCCAACAGGGAACGTGCGTTTGAAGCTTTTGAAAAGGGCGTACGGCGTTGGTTGTTTAGGCACCACTTGCCGCAGCAAGTTTGCGGCATCGCCGAGATTTTCTCGGAGCTGTGGGATTCCCACCTGCAGGAGGTGGGCGCACGCTTTCATCATGGCGTGCTTCACGCCCTGAAGGCTACTACCAAAGGACTAGTTTGGCACTGTGAGGATCACCACGCCCACCGGGCCTTATGTTATTGTCCGCAGTTGTATCATGACATGCTCACCAACACATTTGTGCATTCGGACATTTTTGCGCCCGTGGAGGGGCCTATCGCCGAGTACATTCACGGCAATTACAGAGAAGCCACAGCACGGTTTCGCAAACGGTACCCCTGGGCTTTTAGGGCCACCCCCCGCACGCCTTACGCCTTCGGGCTCCCGAAGCGAAAGAAAGACTTTAAGGTTGCCCGACCTATCATCAGCTTTGTCGGCGCCTTCATGAGGCCTCTTTTGGAAGCAGTCGCCAAGCTGATTTTCCAGCTCACTGCCGTTACTTTCCCCGAAGCCTTCGCGTCGGGAGATGTCTATGATCTCATCCGGGAAATCCAGGTGTTCTTTGCCCGCATCGACGAGCAACCCGACAACCCTGAATTTCAGGACATCATGTGCCGCAATCAGGATTTGTCGGGTTTTTTCACCAGTGTCTCCGCCCAGCAGTTCCATGACGGGTGGGAGTTCTTGCTCGGAAGGTATACACATTTATTTGGATGCCAGCACGATGCATCCTTCACCATTGATGTGGTTCAGAGAGAGCAATCTCTTCGCATCTTTCGAGGAACGCGCCGCAAGCGAGCCAAACAACATGTCTGCATTTACATCCAGGATGTCGCAGACATCATTTCTCATGCTCTTCGCATGCAGATTTTTGGCATTGCTCACAAAGCCTTCCGCCAACTCAAGGGTAGCCCTATGGGCTCGCCCATCAGCCCAGCGCTGTGTTCCATGGTCATTTCTGGACTGGAAGATATATGGAAACGCACCTTTTCCAGCCTGCTTCGCAACATCTCTCTCACCAGCTGTTTCTTACGGTACGTTGACAACCGTATCTTGTTCTGCCCTAGACACGTTCTTGTCCAGTCTGGCATTCGCCTGCTACAGAACCCACAGTTCTACGGCCAGGACATTTTGCTTGAAGACGAAATGGAGTTTGATTTCCTTGGCTTTGCCATTGACGTGCAGGGACGCAGAGTGATGTACCGCAGAAACCTCACGTCCTACGACTTGATGGACGTACTCAGTGCGTCTCCTGAGCACGTTCTCGTCAGTGGTGTACTGGCACGCGCCAGCGTCATAAAGAAATGCTCCTACCCAGCAACGCAGCGACACGCTGATCTACATTACCTATGGGACCAGGCTCAAGAAGCCGGGCTCCCTGTTCATGATTCCAGAGTCAAACGAAAGTTTTTCAGGTGCAAGGATCGCTTTCGCCCCGAAAAGACCTTCGTGCTTATGATGTGCTGAGGGTTCTTTGCATTTGGACCTGTGCGTGTCATGTTGCATTTCCGGCCACGCAGTCATTTTTCGGCCCGGGTCTCCCTGCCACGCCTGGCGTTGTGATGTCGATCGGCGTTCTACAAATGATAGTGCAGTGACATGGCCAAGGACGCCTATTGCGGAGGCCCGCTGTCATGTTGCATTGTGTTTTCGAAATGAATTGCCGACAGGCGCCCGACGTGCTGATCTATGTTATTTGTGGGACCAGGCCGGAAAAGCCCCATATTCACCATTTCAGATCATGTTGGCCGAGCCAACCAGCCTTTGATTTTCAAGGATGTCACTTGGCGCTCTACAAATGGTATTGCAGTGACATGGCCAAGGACGCCTCTTGCGGAGGCCCGCTGTCACACTGCATTGTGCTCTCAAAATGGATTGCCAACTGGCGCCCGGCATGCTGATCTATGTTACTTGTGGGACCAGGCTGGAAAAGCCCCATATTCACCATTTCAGATCATGTTGGCCTAGCCAACCAGCCTTTGATTTTCAAGGATGTCGCTTGGCATTCTACAAATGGTATTGCAGTAACATGGCCAAGGACGCCTCTTGCGGAGGCCCGCTGTCATACTGCATTGTGTTCTCAAAATGGATTGCCAACTGGCGCCCGGCAAGCTGATCTATGCTACTTGTGGGACTAGGCTGGAAAAGCCTCCATATGCATCATTCCAGATCATGTTGGCGTAGCCAACCAGCCTTTGATCTCCAAGGATGTCGCTTGGGTTCTACAAGTGATATTGCAGCGACATGGCCAAGGACGCCTATTGCGGAGGCCCGCTGTCGTGGTGTATTCTGGTTGCAATGGGTGCAACCGCCAGATATCGGTTGGTTCGACTTTTACCCCTAAGCTTGACAACGGACCAATCAAATGACCAAGAACAGTTTTGGTCCGCGTTCTCTCGGCATTACTGATAGTATTGCCACACATGTCATTGTCAACCTTGGATTTCGCAGCGACATGGCCAAGGACGCCTACCGCGGAGGCCCGCTGTCACTGTCGTGATACATCGTGGTTCCCGAAATGGATGATTGTTTTCCGCCTGTAGGAGGCTTTGGTGGCATTACTGCGAGCACGCGTTGTCGCCTGTGTCATTATGAAACTTGGATGTCGCAGCGACATGGCCAAGGACGCCTGCCGCGGAGGCCCGCTGTCGTGCTGCATAATGGTTCCCAATATGATTTTTCCGCCTGTGGGAGGCGTATGCGGAGCGCGAACGATGTGGTTCCGCATATAGACGGCGCTCCTAGACAATTCCGCCAGCGGGAGGTATGATGTTGCTGCCTGTGCACTCATGCAACGGCTTTAGCTCCCGAGTATCATGTCTTTCTTGCAGCCGGTTCAGCACCTGCTTTGGTGTGTCGCCCCACGGGGCATATGTGTGTGTGCAACCTGCTGTACATGCAGGATTGGGGTCACGCCCTTTTTCAGTTTCATGCAGGGGGACGCAGCACATCACTGGGACTGCGTCCAACGAAGCTACCAGTGATGTGGGAAGCCGGAGTTGGCCGCTCCGGTGTACCTGCTCAACACAGATTTGTGACATCATCCATCGTGTATGCTGTGCATTGTTGAATCTATCGAACATCATCGCTGTGCAATTCAGAATGAACCATTTGTCGGACCATGTCATTTTCGAGGCAACTGCCTTTGCCTCGGCCCACAGCTGTGCACATGTCGTACACATCAGTTACCGAAGAGGCTGCGCATCAAAAGTGGTTGGGTCCATTGACGGGCCTCGATCACAGCTCGTGAGCCGACTGTAGGGCGCTGATTCAGTCAAGGCCAGCGACAAAGTTGCAAGATGTTTTTTGAGGGTTCTGTGATGCTTGATGTTGTCCAGTCGAGTGTCCGTCTCATCAGTTCCAGACAAGTCAACGTGTGTGTGTGTGTGTGTGTGCGCGCGCGGGTGCACGTGCGCGTGTGCGCGCGTGCGTGTGCGCGCGTGCGTGTGCACGCATGCGTGTGTGCGCGTGCGTGTGTGCGCGTGCCTGTGTGCACGTGCGTGTGCGTGGTGCATGTGCGTGTGCGTGCATGTGCGTGTGCGTACCGTGCGTGCGCGTGTGCTTAATTACGTGTGCGCGTGCGTGTGCGTGTGCGTGTGCGTGTGCGTGTGCATGTGCGTGTGCGCGTGCGTGTGCTTGTGCGTGTGCGTGTGCGTGTGCGTGTGTGTGTGTGTGTGCATGTGTGTGCATGTGTGTGTGTGTGCGTGAGTGCGTGTGCTTACGTGTGCGTGTGCGCGTGCGTGTGCGCGTGCGTGTGCGTGTGCGTGCGCATGTGCGTGTGCGTGCATGTGTGTGCATGTGTGTGCGTGCGTGCGTGTGCGTGTGTGTGCGTGTGCGTGTGCGTGTTTGGAAATCCCGCTTCGGCAACATTCCCAGCAGATTTCGCACATGCTTGGTTTCATGAGATCCGTGTATGGTTGGTTGGCTCGAGGCCAGAACCTTGTCTGACAAGCACTGTTGCGCTAGACTCGCCCGAAGTGTTGGCGACGGAGGCGTGACATGAGGGAGCGACCCTTGCAAATCTACGTGGCGTGTGGGCTCATGAGCTGCTGCAAGCGTCGTCTGTTGGCTGGCAAGGTGGGTGGCTGGCGTGCGGGTCTCTTCGACCTCGTCTCCGGGAACGTTTCTGCATGCAGGGAGGTGCCTCGCTCGAGCTTGTGGGCTTCAGAATACGTGCAGGATCGCACAGGTGTTTTACGGTGTTCTCCAAGTGGTGCCATACTTGACAATCAGGCTTCACATGCTGGCTATGTGCTCGGCGTGCTCACTGGATTTCCCTACGCCTTAGGTCACCACACCAACCACCAGCTACTTTGCGCGCGTTGGTCGTAAAACGCTTCGCGTCGACCCTCGGCCCGGCAGTGGCCCATCTGACATCGGTGGGTCCAATTGACCCAAAGGGGCTCCCCCGCCCCAGGGGCTTCCAGCTCCTAACCCCTCCCAAGATGAGTTATTTATTCTTCCACAGACCAATGCCCGCCGCCAAGGGCCAAGGCGAATCATAAGAGTAGGCATCAAGCAAGAGGCATCAAGTTATGTCCAGTCACCTTCGGGGGGAGTCTAGAGTCTGGACAATGAGTCTAGACAATGTGCAGAGACATGCCGATTCTGAAGCCAGCGTGTTATGTCGTCGTTGATGGGTCCTAGACAAATGTGAAGACGAGACGTGCGATACAGTAGACCCACATGCAATCTCAGGCTGGGCGGATGTCCGGGTGGTTTTGCGCCCCTGCCACGTTTGCGTTTTCGTCGTGGCAGTGTTGTGGCTCGCAGTAGCCCAGACATTGTTGCCCCGCAGCTGAAAGGCCCAATCTCCTGGAATGGCTGGAGGTGCCTGCCCGAACTCAAACTTGTTATTTTTTCGCATCTTGTGTTCAAAGAGATGCGCCCTGAGGTTCCGGAAAGCTGTCGTTTTCCCAAGTAGCAGCACGCTCTGCCGCTGCGAATGGATACACCGCCAGCCCTGGGTTTCTGTACTTTTCAGCAGACCCACAAGTGCCAGAAGTACTGCGCGGCAGGAATCAGGGTCCTTTGTTCTCCTGGTTGTGCGGCGTATTCCCGAAAGGCAGGAGCTGCGGGAGGCAGCAGCAATGTCGCCCGAGCCATTAAGATGGCGGTGCGTAAGTGCGATGCAATGGTGACTGGCTGGCCGAGGGAGGGGTCAAGTGTGGTCGATCATCCCTTCTGGCCGTCCCTATGCCTTTAGCCCCCTGAGTCATTAGTGTATATTTTATTCAGATAAAACCCAAGGGAATACTAGAAGTGTTCTTTTTATTCCCGAAAGCATGGCGGAGCGTTTTCAGCGGAGGTGGTGGTGGTGGTTAAAGAGTGGTCGTTATATGGATGACGTGATGGATGGCGTGATGGATTTGATGGATTTCGTGGCGTGATGGATTTGATGGATTTCGTGGCGTGATGGAATTAATGGATTTTGTGGCGTGATGGATTGTGATGGATTTCGTGGTTTTCCTCTTGAAAATAATATGTTTTGCAGAACCGGGTAGGGTTGGCGGGAGCCGCCGCGCTTCGTTCAAAAAAGTGCAAACACGCGAACCCTCTGGGTGTTTTGGCGTTGTCGAAACGCAAAAACGACGACCCTCTGCGTAGGCGTGGCGTGTCATGATCGCACGAACGACAACCCTCAGCGTGTTTTGGCGTTGTCGAAACGCACAAACGACGACCCTCTGCGTGGGCGCGGCGTATCGTGATTGCACGAACGACAACCCTCTGCGTGTTTTGGCGTTGAAATGCAAAAATGACGACCCTCTTCTGCGTCGTGGCCGCGGCGTGTCGTGATCGCACGAACGACCACCCTCTGCGTTTTGGCGCTGTCGAATTGCAAAAAAAGATGCCCCTTTGCGTGTGCGCGGGGGGTTGTGATCGCACGAACGACAACTTTCTGGTGCTTTGGCGTTGTCGAAACGCAAAAGCGAGGACGTGCAAAAACGACAGCCCTCTGCATGCGTGTTTGGGCATTGTCGAAGCGCAAAAAAATCGATGGCCCTCTGCGTTTTTGCGGCGTGTCGTGATCGCAGAAAAACGAAAAACCATCTGCGTGTTTGCGCATTGTCGAAACGCAAAAACGATGACCCTCTGCGAGGACGCGGCGTGTCGTGATCGCACGAACGACAACCCTCTGCACCAAGGTTTTGCAGTCTTGAACAAAAGGGGCTTTCTTATGCAAGGGATTTCGCCTTCTCAGCCTAAACCGTACACCCTAAACATCCCTAAAACCTAAACTCTAAACCCTACACCCTGAACCCTAAACCCTAATCTTAAACCCTAAACCCTAAACCCTAAACCCTAAACCCTAAACCCTAAACCCTAAACCCTAAACCCTAAACCCTAAACCCTAAACCCTAAACCCTAAACCCTAAACCCTAAACCCTAAACCCTATACCCTAAACCCTAAACCCTAAACCCTACATCAGCCCCCGGTTGGTAATAAGGGCTTTAGGCCCCAAGCC